TCTCCATGTCAAATTCCTGTAGGACCAGGCTCCAGGGTAGCAGTTTGGGGTTTGTGCCCTTAGTCCGGTGAAGGCATACCAAAGGTGAATGATCAGTTAGAATTCTGAACCTCCTATTAAAGAGGTAAGGCCTTAATTGTTTGACGGCCCACACAATGGCATAGCACTCCTTCTCTATGACAGAGTAATTATGTTCGGCAGCGGACAGCTTTTTGCTTAGGAAGGCAATGGAATGCTTCTTGCTGTCTTCCCATCTGCATCAGCACAGCACCCAACTCTGTGTCTGATGCATCAGTACATAATTCAAAAGGCTTATCGAAGTCAGGGCTGGCCAGCACAGACTCCGTAGTGCTTTTACCTTGTTGAAGCCTTTCTGGCACGCCTCTGACCAAATTACCAAATTAGGTTGATGCTTTTTACATAAGTCTGTGATTGGGGATACAATGTCACTGAACCCCTCTACAAACCTCCTGTAATAGTTTGCCAAGCCTATGAAGGATTGGACTTGCCTTTTAGTCTGGGGTACAGGCCATTTCATGATGGCTTCCACCTTAAGAGGGTCGGGGGATATTTTACCTCCCCCACCCAGTGTCCCAGATAAGGGACTTTGGCTGCCCCTATCTTGCACTTAGAGGGCTTCATAGTTAGCCCAGCTTCTTTGAGCTTTGATAGCACAACTTCCAGGTGCTCCTTGTGATCACCCCAGGTGTTGCTGAATACAACAATGTCATCTATGTATGCCCTAGCATAATTTTGCAAACTATTTAACACTCTGTTGACCAGTCTCTGGAAGGTTGCACCAGCATTTACCAGACCAAAAGGTAACACTGTAAATTCATAGAGCCCTATGTCAGTGATAAAAGCTGATTTTTATTGTGCCTCCCCCTCCAAAGGGATCTACCAGTAACCTCTGGTTAGATCAAAGGTACTAAGGTACTTGGCTTGGCTCAGCACATCCAGCATGTCATCAATTCTTGGAATGGGATATGCATCTGTTACAGTGACAGCATTGAGTTTTCTATGGTCTACACAAAATCTAACAGTGCCATCACTTTTGGGGACTAAGACCACAGGGGAAGCCCATGCACTGTCAGATTCCTTAATCACCCCCAGGGCCAACATGCTTTGTATCTCAGCCTGAATTTGCTCCTTCACCTTGCTGGTGGCCCTGTAAGGCCTGGAAGGTGGAGGCTGAGCCCCTTTCATGAGGATTCTATAGGATAGCAAGTGTGTCCTCCCTGGTTTGTTGGAAAATACCTCGCTGTACTTCTGCAGCGTTGACAACGCTTCCTCCCTTTCGACTGGTGTCAGCTCACTACAGATTTCCATACTTTCCAGGGTTGACCCATCTTGGCATTCAGCCATCAGATCAGTGAGTGGGTGTGCCTCAGTTTCCCCTTCGACACAACAGATCATGTTTACCACGGCCACACTACTGTGATAGGCCTTGAGTCTGTTTACATGTACCAGTTGGGGCACAGCATCGTCCACGGGCTTTTTAACTTTATAAGTGTCCTCACTTGCCACTTCCACCACTTCAAAGGGCCCCTCCCAGGAGTTTTGCATCTTGAACTTTTTTGCAGGGCTGAGCACCATGACCAAATCTCCTACGTCAAAAGTGCGTTTACAAGTATTTTTATCATACCACGCCTTTTGCTTGGCCTGACTGCTCTGGAGGTTGTTTTGGACAATTTCCATCATGTCTTTCAACTCCCTCCTGAACCATGGGTTCCTCCCTTACCGTGTTGCACCCTTCCCAAGTATCCCTGATGAGATCGAGAGGTCCCCTCACTTTTCTCCCATACAGAAGATCAAACGGAGAAAAGCCCATGGACTCTTGGGGTACCTCCCTGTAGGGATACAGCAGGAATGGCAATAGCTCTTCCCAACTCTGGCCCCTTTTCTTGGCATACATCCCCAGCATGGATTTTAGGGTCCCACTGAACCTTTCCACCAGCCCATTGGCCTGGAAGGTGGAGGCTGAGCCCCTTTCATAAGGATTCTATGGGAAACCCCCTTGAGAACTGCCAACTGATGTGCCAAGACTAATTCTGCCCCTGCTTTTCTGCCCTACCAGCTTGGGACTCCAGCACCCTGTCTTGTTAAGCCAGACATGCCAATCTGCTCCAACACAGAACCAGGGTCTGAACCACGTGCCCCAAAGCTGCAGACTTAACTGAAAGAAACTTAAGAAGTGTTCCTGTCTTCGAATACAAAAACAATGCATGCATACAAATAGGATGAATAGATTCAGTAGATCATAACCTTTACAGATATATGTCACATGGAATATGTAGTATAAAACATATTCCAGTTATGTCATATATATACATTCCTAAGCATATTTCCATAAAGCCTTATGGGGTGCACTGTCACACTGAGTTTTTGGTTTTTTGTGTTTTTGTTTTGCATTTGCTGGCTATCTGTGCTAACTAATTAGGAAGCAGGCCTTACCCATTGCTGTATTCAGTGTAGCCACTCAGATTACTATGGTTTCATAATCCAGTTTTGCAGCCACTTTGCATTTTATCTATGAGCCCCAGAATAAACTACAGTTTTCACAGATCTCTCCATACATTTGCAATATAGCATGGAGTGGAAAGTTGTTCACAGCTATTGCCAAAAATGATTCAGTGCTCATCTGCCACAACAAAGAAAGGAGTAAAAACTCCTTTATTTCTGACACCATGTTACGAGCTGATGTAGAGGGCTACACCAAGAAAGCCATTTATAGTGAACTAGTTGTACTGCTCTGACAAAACCCAAGATCTATGCTACATATCCTTGATCTACATATACACCTCTACCCTGATATAACGCGACCCGATATAACACGAATTCGGATATAACACGGTAAAGCAGCGCTGGGGGGGGCGGGGCTGCGTGCTCCGGTGGATCAAAGCAAGTTTGATATAACGCGATTTCACCTATAACGTGGTAAGATTTTTTGGCTCCCAAGGACAGTGTTATATCGGGGTAGAGGTGTACTGGCAACTTAATTATACTTAATTATTAATTATTAACTATTTACATATTATGGTGCTGTGGCAACTGCATCATAATTAAGCTTCCTTTAAGAACTTCCATTTTATTTTGTTCAGAGGAAAGTCTCACTTTTTTTTGTACTCCTCTAACATAATGGTATGATTATGGTTCAAATTTGCATAGATATAATTTCTGTGACAAGGATTCCTAAAATACTATTTTTAGGTACATGTGTGGCATATTTTTAAAAGTATTTTAAGTTGTTAAAGGCAAGTTTGTGTGCCCACCTGAAAGTGCCAAATTATAATTTGATAACAAAATACATGATCTCACAGCAGTGAGATCACAATCACTCACTTCTAGAGAGTCTTAACATAAGAGAGAGAGAGACTGATTTATCAAACACTCTGTAGCCTAGGAAAGAGTTCCCTGAGTTGGAAAAGAGGAGACCAGGAATTCAAATTCACTATACTTACTGAGGACAGGCATGATCCCCAACCTAGAAGACAGTTTGGGAACAGCCACTGAACAATTCCTCCCATTTTTTAAAAAGACATTAACAGGCAGAGAACCCAGCTCTCCAACATGACAAACCTAAACTTCAGTTACATTCAATATATACTGTGCCTTTCAGAGTGACTAAGCTAGAGAAGTCTGTGCGTGCATAGAAAATTTGAAAATGTCAAATAATGTACTTTCATTACACATTTCAATAAAAAGCAGTTTTCAATTAAATATTTTGATTTGAAAAATTCTGACCAGACATTAATAGCAAATGTGCTAAGTGAGTTTCTGGTGGAAAGGAATATTAAAATTATGTATATGTACTAGGGCTGTCAATTAATCACAGTTACTGCCTGTGATTAACTGAAAACACTGGGTGGGGAGGGAAGCATCAGTTGCGAAGGGACCTGACAGTGTCCAGTGAGGCATAGTAACCCAATACACCACTGGAGGGCAGGAAGAGAAGAGGAAGTGGTTCCCATCCCAGCTCCAGTGGAGAGGTAGCGATCCTGACCCTGCCATGCCCTATTTCCTCTGGCCAGCACCTCACTCCGGGGACCGACCCTTCCCCCGTGCCGGGCCTCATTGTCCCTGGCTGGCTCCTTGCTGTGGGGGATACCCCAGAGAGAACTGGGGCCTGGTGAGCTCAGCCTCCCTGCACCAACCTCTCCTCCCCACCCTCCATTGCAAACAAGAGCTCACTCAGCTGAAGGGAGCCCACCTAGCTCAGTAAAAGGAGGCAAGCCTGGCGAACCCAGTACCAGAAACCACCCTTCCAGAAGCAGCAGCAAGACACCTCCCTCACCCTCCTCCTGCACAAGTCATTGCTTGTCCCCCCCTCCTCCCCACACATCCTCCTTGAACATTGAATGCAGATTTCTATGATGAAACTCTTCCTCTTTGGACAGGAGGCAAGCCTGGTGAGCTCAGAAACCCAGCCCAACAGGAGCAGCATCAAGATTCACCTTTCTCCTGCAAAATTGACCCTTCTCCTGCACAACTCATAGCCCTCCCATCTCCAGAATACTGACTTTCTGAGTTGACTTGTAGGCTCTAAAATTTTACATTGTTTTATTTTTGAGTGCAGTTATGTACAAAAATAACAATAATAATTCTACATTTGTAAGTTCAACTTTCATAATAAAGAGATTGCACTACAATACTTGTATGAGGTGAACTTAACTACTACTTCTTTTATCTTTTTTACATAGCAAATATTTGTAATAAAAATAATAATATAATGTGAGCACTGTACACTTTGTATTCTGTGTTGTAATTGTAATTAATATATTTGAAAATGTAGTAAACATCCAAAAATATTTAAATAAATGGTATTCTATTATTGTTTAACAGTGCGATTAAAACTGCCATTAAAAAAAAAAAATCTTATGATTAATCACAATTAATTTTTTAACTGCTTGACAGCCCTAATATGTGCTTTTACACTTGCAATTCTGAAAACCTGGCTGTAAAAGAAGGTATTTATTCATTACGTATTTTCTGTGGCTTACCATTCCGAAGTCACCTTTTGACTTGCTTCCAGTGTGAATATTTTCAGTTTCAGTTCTAAAAACAAACCAAATATATAGGGAGTGAAGTCTATGAAGTCACTAGAAGCAATTGTATAACCAGCAACTACCTTAAATGTTTCATTCAATTTTTATATTACTTGTGACTTGCAAAATATATACCATAGCTTATGGTTTAACTCTTAGGTCTGATTTTGATTTAAACTTACAGGTTTTCATCAAAAAGTGAAAGCTTGAAAACCAGTTTTTGACCAAAACCTTACTTTTTTTAAAGAAAAATGTTAAGGAAAACAAAAATTTGTGCTTTTACTGAAATTGTTCATGGGAACAAAAAACATTTACCAACCAGTTCTACAGTCGAAAGCCAGAAGGAACCATTATAGATCATTTAGTTGGTCCTCCTTTATATCACGGTATAATTGTTGGCACTCATCTTTGGAGTGACCCTGGTGGCCTCGTGCGGAATCACGGTTACATCCGTGCCTCAGTTTCCCGTAGTCAGCTTTTAATAAGTTCAGTAAAGCTTGTATACAGGGAACATTGTCCTCAGGGGTCTAATTTATATAATCAACTACAAAAAAAGGATTCTCCATTGCTTAGAGCAGTTGCTCTCAACTTTTCCAGACTACTGCACCCCTTTAAGAAGTCTGATTTGTCTTGCGTACCCCCAAGTTTCACCTAACATAAAAACTACTTGCTTACAAAATCAGACATAAAAATGCAAAAGTGTCACAGCACACTATTACTGAAAAATTGCTGACTTTCTCATTTTACCGTATACTTATAAAATAAGTCAATTGGAATATAAATATTGTACTTACATTTCAGTGTATAGTATATTGAGCAGTATAAAAAAGTCATAGTCTGAATGAAATTTTAGTTTGTACTGACCTTGCTTGTGCTTTTTATGTAGCCTGTTGTAAAACTAGGCAAATATCTAGATGAGTTGATGTACCCCCTGGAAAACCTCCATGCACCCTTAGGGGTATACGTACCCCTGGTTGAGAACCACTGGCTTAGAGCTCTGCAGTCTCTTCCCTGCTGACTCAGGGTAACTCTCAGGCATGCCCTGTCTAGAGAGCTTTGTAGTCTCTCTCCTCTGGAGGTCTCTCTCTTTGTGTTTTGGGATTGGTTCTCTGTCCAGGAACTTCTGCTCTCTGGGGAGACATCACTGGGAGTAGCTTCCTACCCAGCTCCTCTGAGGAGCTATCTCCCCAGCAGCTTCCTCTCTGTGTTCTGGGCTCCAACCTGAGCCTTCATAAACTTTTATAAAACCCAGACATTCCTTAATTTAGGGCTTCAACCGCAGATCACTCTCCCGTCGATTCCTGTACAGCGCTGGATCGAGAAGAGTAGGGGGAGTCGACGGGAGATGCACGTAGTGTGGACCCCACGGTAAGTAGATCTAAGCTATGTCAATTTGAGTTACACTATTCACATAACTCAAATTGCATAGCTTAGATCAAATTTCCCCTGTAGTGTAGACAAGGCCTTAGACTCTGCAGGGAGCACCCTAACAGGGTTGCTTCCCATATAACCCTGGGTTGGGTTCTAGAGGAAAGGGAAGGCCTAGGTCCCCCACCACACTCCTTTAAGGGCTGTCGCCCAGATGCAGGTGGAAGCCTGAAGATTGCTGGCTTGGGGTCAGGAAACAGGCACCTCTCCCACCCTGACAGACAGGGAATGGGCCAGAGGTCTGGAGCGCCAACTGCTAGGATGCCCATCCTTCTGAGCACCTTATCACAAGTTCTCTGCTCATTATGCTGTCTCCCAAGTGTCAAGGTCTGTGATGGGGTGGACTAGGCCCAAAGGCCCCCCGCTGGAGGCCTCAGGGTCCTCCCACACCCATCCCAGAAAAGGAGCAGCGGAGAGGTCTTCCAAGCAGACTAGAGTGGCTGCAGGGGAAGCAGTCAATCAGAGAGGCTGCAGGGAGTAGCCAGTGAGGGCCCAGCAGGTTCATGTAAAAGGAACTGCAGGGCCAGAGTGAGTTCAGTCTGCTTGTAGGGAACCTGGGAGCAAGAGGTGCTCCTGGCTGGCTGCAGGAGCTGAAAGGGCTGGATAAATCAGTCTGCTAGCAGGGACTGGGGGAGCAAGAGATTCTCCTGCTGGCTGCAAGGCTAAGGCAGGTAGTTGCTGGCAGGGATTGAGGAAGCGAGGGAATAGCTTCTGGCTGGCTGCCAGGAAACAATTAAGAGGGGTTATGCAGAAGTGGCCCACAGAAAAGCAGTTAGTTAAAGGGATATGGCACATGGCTGCTACTTAGAGGGTCCCTGGGTTGGGACTCGGAGTAGTGGGTGGGCCTGGGTCCCCCCAAAGCCATTGGGGAAGTTGCTGTGCCCTGAGAGAAGGGAATTTAGACAGGCCCAGGGAAGGTACTGTACATGGAACTGTTACCCCTGGAAGGGGACTGAATTGAGACTGACCCAGCTGAAGATCTGGGGTCAAAGGACTAAAGGGCAGGCAAAGACCCTGGGGGGTGCTACTCCACCCCAAAGCTGGAACCTTCACATGTAAACTGGCCAATTAGGGTACTGAGATAGGCCCTGTTGGTCAGACTGAGGATTGAGCCTGGGGAGGGCTACAGAGACATTGCCAACAGAGGGGTACCATGATGAGCCCAATTGGACTGTTAAAGGACATTACCGAGGGCATTGAGCTAAGCCCGGTTGAATTGTATACCCTGGAAGGGGGTTGTTTATTTTTCGCACATGGACAGAGTGTGACTTGGCCAGAGGGATGAGTCAACAAAGACCCACCTGACAAGGGCAGCAGCTGACAGGAGACACTGTGAGTTGAGAAACTGAGAAAACTGCAGGCACACACACACTTGACCAGGGGGCGCTCGTGAGAGGTGGGTGCCACCCCATTACACAGTCTCTGTTCAGATAGGCTGTGAAAGCCTCCTCCATCTTGAACTGCTTGTCAGTCATCTGAAGAAGAATTGACATGTGCAATCACTCAAAGAAGGAAAAACTGTTATTTACCTGTTCTGTAACTATTGCTCTTTAAGATGTGTTGCTCATGTCCATTCCACAACTCATCCTCCTTCCCCTCTACATAGGAGTCTAATTTATTGGATTCCAGTGAGAAGGAACTGAGGGAGAGTTAGGGTAGCTCTGCCCCAGCTACCCAGCGTCTTCCCGTGCTTGGGAGACGATCGCATAGTGCGAGGAAAAGGTGTGGACAGAGGACCACGTGGCAGCCCTACATATGTCCTGGATAGGGACGTGGGCTACAGAGGCGGCTGACGAGGCCTGCGCTCCTGTAGAATGCGCCTTTACGATAGGCGGCGGGGGAACCCCTGCCAAGTCGTAACACGTGCGTATGCACGAGGTGATCCAGCGGGTAAGGCGCTGGGTGGAGACTAGTTACCCTCTCATACGCTACTGTCCAGGACAAGTGGGACCAGGAACACATGGCCAAGGATTCAAAGGGAGGGCCCGTGAGGCGGGATAGCACTAGGTTCAGATCCCATTGCGGGACCGGGGCCCTGGCGTATGGAAATGTACGATCTAGACCCTTTAAAAAGCGGGAGGTCATCTCATGGGAAAATGGCCACTAAATGTACCCTGACGGAGGCCAGAGCTAGACCTTGGGTCCTCAGGGACAGGAGGTAATCTAAAATAAGTTGGAGGGATGCGGATGATGGGGAGGCGCCCCGCTCCCTCGCCCACCTAGAAAACCTAAACCATTTGGCAAGGTAGGTCCGTCGTGTAGACGGCTTTCTGCTCTCCAGCAGAATTCGTCTGACATGCTCCAAACACCTTCTCTCCTCCTCGTTTAACCATGGAGCAACCACGCTGTCAAGCGAAGCGCAGCTAGGTTGGGATGGAGAAGGCATCCCCTCTCCTGGGAGAGGAGATCCGGGTGGAACGGCAGCCTCCATGGGGGGGCCGCTAACAGTTGCAGGAGGGTCCCGTACCAGTGCTGGAGGGCCCAATCGGGGGCTATGAGGATGACCCTCGACCTGTCCGCCTTTACTTTCTGCAGGACCTTGCCTATCAGTGGAAACGGTGGAAAGGCACAGAACAGTTGGTCTGACCACCGTAGGAGGAATGCGTCCGAGATCGCCCCCCCTTTCTACCCCTGCCCTGGAGCAGAACTGGGGGCAGAGAGGATTCTGGGCAGTAGCAAAGAGATCTACCTGGGGAGCTCCCCACTCTCGGAAGAGCTGCCGGGCGACCTCCCAGTGGAGTGACCACTCGTATTGGTGGGAGAAAACCCTGCTGAGGTGATCGGCTCGCATATTGCGCGTGCCGGGTAGGTGAAAAGCCCTCAGAGACATGTCATGGGCTATACAAAATTCCCATAGGTCCAGGGCTTCCTGGCACAAGGCCGAGGAGCGCATGCCCCCTTGCCTGTTGATGTAATACATCGCGGACGTATTGTCCATGAGGATTCTGAACATCTTTCCCCAAAGGTGCAGGCTGAACGCTATGCACGCCAGGCGCACCGCCCTGAGTTCCCAGATGTTTATGTGCAGGGACAATTTCGAGGTCGACCATCTGCCCTGGGTTTGGAAGCTCCCCACATGGGCTCCCCACCCCAGGTCAGAGGCATCCGAAACTAGATCTAGTGAGGGAGGGGTCTCTCAGAAGGGGATCCCTTGTAACATGTTGTCCGGGAGGGACCACCATTGCAGGTCGGCCACTACGTTGGGAGGTACCGTGACAACCTTGTCGAGGCTGTCCCTTGCCTGGGAATATTGGGAGGCCAGCCACAGTTGGAGGGGCCTCATTCTGAGCCTGGCATGTCACACCACGGAGGTGCAGGCTGCCATGTGGCCCAGGACTTGAAGGCACACCCTTGCTGTTGTCACGGGGAAGGATGTGACCGAGGCTATGAGACTTTTGAGCGTCTCAAACCTGTCCCTGGGAAGAGAGGCCGTGGCTGCGCTCCTAGGAAGTGTATGCGCTGAACCGGCACTAACGTGGACTTGTCCTCGTTTACCACTAGGCCTAGACTCTCGCAAGTGGCCAGCAGGAATTTCATCTGGGCCTGCACCTGTGACCGAGACTTGCCTTTGAGCAGCCAGTC